TGATACAGTCGGGAATTTTTGAAAAATGTGTTGCTATCGCCACGAGACCGGATTGGACAGTCGCGTCAACGAAGAGCCTTTGTGCTGTCTTGATTGCGAGCGCATCGTCCGCCTGCAATTTTTCGCAGACAAATCTACTAAAGACCTCGAAGTTCCGGGCGCAATATTCCACTGCCTCTATCCATGTCCCCCACCGGGTCAAGATCGGCTTCGGGGCAGCGGGAGTTCGACCTCCTCTCTAAAGAGCGAAATACGAGACGGGGACTTCAAAAGGACCATCTTCGTCTATGCGATCAGCTGATCTACCTTTGGAAACAATCCGCGGATCTCTTCGGATACCCTGTGTTGGCCGTGAGCAAGGCAGGTGACGTGTATCATTCGCGGGAACAAAACCTTCAAGCTGGCGGCAGCTCTCCCCATGTAACGGGCAGCATCGCTAACGAAGATTAGGAACCGATCATAGTGCACATCGCCGATCCGAACAACTTTCATGGACTTCACGAAAATGTGGGCGATCGTGGTGGCGTTGCATTTGTCAAGTTGTTCACATACCAAGAGATAACTTCTACTAAAATGAGTTCTCTCCAGTTTACCCTCGACCACTTTGGCGATACTTAGTCCAGCTTTATCGGTGGTCTCATCTATCGAGACCCAAATTTTCGAACGAGCGATTCCTTGCCGGATGCGATCGATCGCGTCGGCATAAACTTCGGGAACATACGTTTTCCGTAGAGTGGAAAGTTCGGGTAATTTCATGGATGTGTGGTGTTCGAGAAAGTTCTTCTGGGCATCATTCGAAAGCTTGTGCAGAGCTGTATCCGGTTTCATGGAAGCACTGCACAAGTCCATGAAGAATTTGTCCTTCTTGGCTCCACAAGATTGTTGACAGCTGTTGCTGTCTCATCCCTGAGGATCCTTGAACCCTCCGCGACAAGCGCTCCGCAGCCGCAACATGGCTTCTCGCTACAAGATGCTGATTGAGACTGAAGTTCGTAGCTCGCGGAAAGTTTCTCACGCATATCCTACAGAGAACCACATCCCCGTCGACCGAAAACGTATCCGCACCAAACAATGAGATGAGATCCGCTCGCGATGACTTTGGTCTCGACATCTTCTGACCCTGACCGACGGGGAAGCGTGCCTGCGCGAGGACTTCGGAAAATCCTAGCTGACTTATCGAAGGAGCGTTATCGAACGTGCACCTGATGGTGGTGCGTGTCTTCAACGCTCCCGATAAGGCGTATGCGATTCGGCTTCAGTTTAACCAAACTTGCGGACATTGGTCAGGACTTGGGGGAGCGTTCCCGACCGAGCTTGGGGGAAGCAGGTCAATGACATTTGTGAGCATTCCGAGTCTCGGCAAAGGATTTCACTCTCCATTGGGGTATCAATATCTTCGCTTCTCACATCCTCGATCTATTGAATCATTGATTGGTCTTGGATAAGTTTGGGAGATGCTACATCGACTCAGAGAAGAATTCAGTACTCGCGAATATGATGCGGATATCGAAATATGCGTTTCAAGCTCGGAAAAGGTCAAATACGCGAATATGCGCTAAAATATGCGGTCCATTGGAATCCCAGCACCGGTATCTCCGGTCGATAGTTCACCAGAACCGGTGGCGAAATTATTGCCTTCCTCAGCCGCGCCAAGGCGAGGCGCTCCCCTGATCCGAAATGGAAGGGAACTGCGTCCGTGAGTGTGGTCAGAGGGGCTCCGACCTTGCTGTATTGTTCAGAATCTATGTTCCCTGTAACCGCCTGATACACT